TAAATAATAATGTTTTCCAATAAATGTTCACATGTGAGTGGGCACACCAGGCGGTGGGTGAGCTGGTGAGTGTGGGTTAAAGCATTCAGGACGAGGACACACACATGCCAGGATCCCAATACCAATCCCAGTCCATGCGATACCTCCCAGAGAATGACCGTCCGTTGTTGAACCTTGGCTTCACTGCTCCCTGGATTTTTTCCAACCAACTGTTAAGACCGACCCCCCCACAGATCTCATAACTTACAAGGTCATTTCATTGCACGCAACCATTAAGAATTTTTCCGTTTTTTTCCGCCGAGATATTCTGGCATTTTTCGTTGTATAATTTAATTCTCGTGTGTGACGAATTTTTATGGCTGACAAATGATTGATGCGATTCTGCCACTTCCTGTAAATATCATTAAAAGTGCCCTTCAAGGCAAAGGGTCCCGAACAGCTTACTCTGCGGAAGTTTAAAGTTTCGTTTCTCCTTGTTAAGGACCACAATTGTCTGGCCATTGTAAAATGGCAAAGTGCTGAAATGCAGGTTTAACGCAGAAATAATACCAAATAAGATTAGATAGCATTGTGTCTTCGAGCAATGTCCTTTTGGCGGTGGGGCAATGGTGGTTGAGGCCCAAAAAGAAAAACAAATAATGTTACAAATTGCAGCATTTGCACCCCTTTAGCTAGACAAACGCACAAGCGCCGTGGAACAATGGTCTTTCAACTTTTTCTGCTTTCCAAATTGTACAAATATACATTTTTTGAAAATTTGTCTTGGAAAATTTTGTTTAAGAATAATAAATTTGTATGATAACTTTTCGTATATATATTTTATATAGATATTCTTAGATTAAGTTCCATATCTAGGGCTTAAGACATAATTCATTCAATTGTTTTTAATTTAGATACAATTTTATTTTTTCTCAGCACTTTGCTCCACTGTTCATTGGAGGTGGCGAAAAAATTGTAAAATTCAAACTCTTCCGCCGCCCCGAGAAAACACAAATCACGGGGAAATGCAATAACAAAGGGAAACCCTCTGGACGCAGAGTGTTCAAGTTATTTGCGGTTTATGTCCTTGTTGCTGCTCCTTTATTCATGTCGCTGAGGCGACAAAAAGGACCTTAAAGCCAATAAAACGATTTTTTCGTCTCTATCTATGAATTGTAAATGCCTTGCCGAAAAAGGACAATTGAAGTGGCCGCGTCCGCTGACAGCTCCGCATGGGTCTCAGCTCCTTTCCCTTCGCGATTTAAGATAATAGTATCATCAACGCCACTTCAGTACTCCCCCAACCCAATGTACAATATCCACGGAGGGCAGGATTTGTCTGGGTCCGGGGTCTAAGGACTTACTTTGGCATAGGCGTTGCTTGGGTCCTGGCCAATGGCTTCGGGATTTGGGTTCGGGCTTCGATGATAACAACTTTGGCGGCTAATTTGCATGGGACAGCGGCGGGGGTCGCTAAGAAAACTTTAAGCGTTTTTAAGTTCTTTTGCATCGAGTGACAGATTCTTCACGCACATTTAAAAAACATTTAAAAAACCATTAAATGTTTTTTTTCACTTTTTTCCACTTTTTTTTTCCACTTTTTTTTTGTTTGTCTGCATCACACCCCCCAATTTTTTGGGAATTCTTCCTTTTTATTTTTTATTTGTTTTCTGGGCTTTTCATTGTTGTTTCATTGTTGTTGTGGTGCCAGTTGCTGCCTTGGCGGTGCTCTCTAATCTTTGCGCCATTTATTTACACTTGATTAACACGCGACTGACATTTGTTTGACTTTCGCTTCTCCCTGTTGAAATTAAAATGCGAAACCCGCTTTGCACAAAAAATATGAACTTTACTGGGGAAGTGTAACACTTTTAAACACCCTTTGTCATTGAGGTGTTGAAATTGTTTATTGGTTGGTAAATATGTTTAGAGTTTAGAGAAACATCATATTTTATTCACATTTACTAAAATAATATATTAATATTTCCTTAATATTTAAATATATACCAAGTCATAGCCTGCTTACAAAGCTTGCGTTAAAGATTTGTACAGTCTTTACTTAACATAACTTTTTTAATGCCCAAAAAAACCTTGGAATATTTATAATAAATATTCAACTGATTTAACAAAACAAAAACACCAGTAAAAAATATTTCTCTATATATATGCTTACAAAATCCTACAAAAAACAATAATACCCACCTAAATAAGTGTATATAAAAGTATGGCTCCTGTGTGACACATTTTCTGTGGGTCTGCCTTTTTGGCTTCTGCTTCACATTTTGCGCTGTACAAAAATTATTCATTTGTGGAAAATTGTGACGTTGGTCGGTCCATGGCCGCAGGCCAAACTGATTAATAAACCAAACGTCAAATGCGCACAATGGCCACGCATCACCGGAGTCAAAGTTTGAGCCGGAGCAAGAGCCACCACTCCGTGGCATCCGGAGCAAGAACAGGACCCCATGACCAGGATAAGGGCGACCGCAGCTGTCAACCGTGTGTCACACACAAATGTGGCCGAAAAGGGGGCGACTGAGATATTCATAAAACGAGGCGGAACTTTCTTACAAGTGCAAGTAGGCATTCGCATTGTTCTCGACTTGACTTTTCCCAGATCCCGGCGACTCGCATTCCATCTTGGTTCCGTTCGAGGGCGTTGGCGTTGGCAGTGTCATTGTCATCCGCCGGGTCACAGCTGGTTGCTATTTGGCCAGCAAATTATTTACATATTAAAAAATCTCTAACAATGGCCATTTGATTTTCTTTGTGGTACATTTTTTATAGGGAAATGGGAAAAAATATGGCTTGCAGTTCAAGGTCAATGCTAGTTTAAAGCAAACTCTGAAAGGCATACATTTTAAAACTTTTATTGAATTATAAGTATTATTTAAAATTTTAGATCTTAATAATATATATATAAATTAATTTCTATCACTTGTATACATTTTTTTAACTCTTTGGACAGCAGCAATACTTGATTACATGAAAACCTGGAAGGAAGAATTAGAATTTCCTCAACTTATGGAATTGTATCCATACCCAGACTTTAGCAAAAATATTAAATTAATTTCTGAAACATAGCTTTATTTATTTTCTTAAATATATCATTATTGTTCGATAGCGCAGCCCCACACATTCCGTAAAGGTCCCTAGGGCACGAAATCGAGTTCTGATTTACATATAAACATGAAGATTTATACCATTACGCCCACATACTCAAGGCGACCATAAAAATGATAAAAAAAAGCAGTGTACTGCGTACTTTGTGTGTGCTTTCGATTTGATTTTGACTTGGGAAATTCCCTCCACTAATGTTTCCACGTTTAATGGTTTTGTTTATGGAGTGTTTAGTGATTTCTTCGTTCCGAAACAATACAGAAAAAGCTTAGTTGACTGCCTTACAAATGTCCTGCAGGCAAGTTTGCTGGTCAAACATATCGAGGCCATGACGAATTGACCACTACCCTGTGATATGATGAGGAAGAACGATTGAAGCATCATTTATCATTTTTATAGCTTCGTTTTTTTAGAGAGGGTAAGAAATAGTTCTTAAAGAGAAGCAAAATAAACATTTTTCTTTATTTCTTGGCCTTCCTTTCCCCAAATGAAATTATTCAAAAATGTTGCCCAATTTTCAAATTCAATTTGTCAATCATAAATTTCACGCTCTCTTAAAATAAATTTGCTGGCAATTGAAAAATTTCAAGTGCCTGTGTCAAACAAGGTTTTCCTTTCAATGTGTTGAAGCATTCTGGTTTTTTGCAACAATTTATGGGCAAACTTTTCGGGGTTTGGTCTGTCAGAGTTAAGCATCGGCCTCTGCTTTGACACATGACTTGAATGTCAATGGGCAAGGGACACACACCCCCAATGAGCTAAAAAAAAGTAAGGGGAGGGACCGAGGAACTGAGAGTCCTGCGTGCCAGACAATGTCGCGTTAAATTCGCACAAGTTGACGGAAATTTTGCTACTTTGTCTGCTGCAAATTCTAAACTTCTGTTTCGTTTATTTTAGTTTGCCGAGGGGGTTACGCTTTCCTCAACATTTCCCACTCACACACCCCATTCAGCACATAAATAACAAAATTTAAGGACAAAATATCAATATCCACTTTGCGGGACGCCAACTGCATGCGAATGAGTTTATTTTTGGCAGTGGGAAAGTGTCTAGATCCTGAATTGGACACCGCCTGAGCCAAAAATTTCGCATTGCTAATGAAATTCTGTTTCTATTTCTTACTTTTGTTTCCCATTTTTTCTTCTGTGTTATTTTTGCATAATTTCAATTCACTCCTGGCGACAACATATTGCAAAGAACTTGGCATGTTGCGAAATTCGACGCGTTAAAGTTTTCTGAATGCAAAATTTGCAGCTAAATTTGAATGAATTGTTGGGAAAAGTTTTAAAAGCGAAACATCGCTCTTTTTAAGAATTGATATATATTTTTTTGTCTTACATATTTCAGAAGCCCATTTCATTTTAATTTTGTTAAGGCTTGAACCTACAAAATTATCTCTGCAAAATGAATAAACTTATGGTTGGAAATCGCATTTAAACATATATTTTTCTTTAAAAAGATTTTATGTGCATTTCTGTGTATTCTTGGACTTTTTTTACATTAAATTTACAACAGTAAAAACCTTGCTGATACCGACATAAAAGCCATGATATTTAAATGCCTTTTATTTTTAAAGCTGCTGGCTAGCCAGGTCCATAAGCCAAATTTAATTTGTTCCTATATGACATTTACGGTCATATTCAAATAACTTCGTTTGCCATACTTCACTGACTTTGATGTCCTTTTGAACTGGGGTTGAAGCTTGTAGCAAAGTGGAAAAGGTTTCGCTAGATTAATTTGGGGTCATGCATATAATATAATTTTTTATGGTGGGAGGGTGGTTGGGAATGGGGGTTCATTTAAACCGCAATCAAGTGGCATAAAGAAGGTTTTTTCATATGAGAAATTATTTATGGCTGAAAATCTCTTCAATGTGTCTCGAAGTCTTAAATCCATTGCGGTGCAGTGGAAGATGATTTAATTTATTGCCATCTTTCTGGGAACATGTGTTCTAACAAAGTTTGCCTAATTAGGGGTAATAGATCTTAATAACTATGTGAAATTTTATGACAAGGGTAACGGGAACACATGCTACTAGCTCAAATGCAAAATAATGTTATAACAAATTAATTTAACTTTAATTTTTGTCTTTGAGTCACATGATATTATATTGCTGAGGTTCTCTTTTAACTATGTTTTGCTCCTTTGCCTCACGATGTTTCTTTAATATGAAAAGGATTTTCGGTTCGCTGTTTTGTTTATATGATGGCTCCTCCATTTTTGGTCTTAGGCCTAGAATATTAAGAAACCGCCTGGCAAATCCTTTGATTCGATTAATTTCTTCTGATCCAGGGACTTCCTGACTTGTCTTTTGGTTTCCTGCTTTAAAATTGATAATCTGTAAAAGCCAGTTTTCAGATTTTATTTCATTATTAGAGTTGGGTAGCCTTCTGGGTATTTCGTGGACGTTATAAAAGTTCCTGTGCTGATCCCTTAAATGTGGCTCCTCAAATAATGGATCCTTATTTCGGGCTGGACATGTACCAGGGTCATCGTGACTTTCTATAAGCCTGTAGTTATAGCTCAAACTCATACTACAAAGTAGCAAGACAATCCCGAAATGACGACGCGTTGACATTGTCACAATCGAAAGTGAACTGTTGGAATTGTTTAATTCGATCAAAATATTTATATATGTTTATTAAACCTTGAACTTGGGACCGGCTAAGCAAACTTGTGGCTAACAGCTGGCCACGCTTAAATGAGTTTCTTGAAATATTTGCCTTTAATGCAGTATTTACATCTGCAAGTATGTGAAAAAATATTCTAGTCTGCGACGGTCTTGGTGTTTTTCCCAAATTTTTTCGACCCAGCTTGGACACAGACCACGTAACTGCCATTTGTGGTAGATGGGCTGTCCTCCCTTCCTCAACCTTTTTTCCCCAGGGGATCCCAATCCCACTGAATCACTGTAAGTGACACGCGTGCCCCTCCACACAATCACCCACCGCGAATTTGTGAATTTCGTTACCTCATGAAACCGAAACTGACATGAATTCGAAAAGCGTTTCGGGGCGAACATTAACACATTTATTTTCCATTCCGTAGGTTGTCCCCTGTCGCCTCTCTCGTCAAGTGTGGGTTGAATAATTTTTTAAGTGACTTCTTTTATTTGCATTTAGAAGCGTTTAAAAAAAGTCAACTGGGACTTGCGGGTACGTTTATGTGAATACATTTAGCATTTTAAGGAAGTTGTGGGTAGCTCTTGTGGTGGTGGATATATACTTTTTCAAAAAAAAAAAGCTAAGAGGTAAAGTGTTTTCATCTTTGTTGTGGATTCTATTTTGGCTTAATTTTGAAAACGTCTTTATTGCCTGAACTATAGATATTTTAATTTAAGATTGAAGTTTGTATATATATAATAACATTATATTTAAAAACCCGCATTTCAACCCTACCTTTGTATACCCTGAAATTCCTTGGGTATACTTTTTAAAGGACACCCGCTCACCAGGTTCATAAAAACTATTCGACGCTGGCATTTCAGCAAAAAGAGGCGGAAGATGGCTACATGAGGGTTTTCCATTACCCCCTTAGGTGAAATTGTTTCGTGTGCATTGAACATGATTTATTATGACACATAAACAACAGCTTAACTTCCGGGTAACTTACACATATGCCCGTAACACTGTGTGGGTGCTAAAAAAATGAAGAAAAATTGCGAAATGTCTGAGATATTGACTAAAAGCCCTGTCGACAGTAGTGGCAATAGAAGCAGCGGCAACCACATCAATGGCACTTACCTTTTCCGCTTAAACACCCTCAACCTGGGCATAATGGTGACCTTCTCCCCAGCCCCTGCCACCATTCAGTATCCCCTGCGATGCATTTGAAACAGGTTTGTCCCCGGGTTTCCTCTTCCTTCCGCCTTTTATTAGCCAGCAACTTGTTCCTTGGCCGTAACGCTGTTTTTTATGCCATGGAATGGCCCTGGCCCTGGCCATGGATGGCCATGGATGGTCATGCTCACCCGTGCGTCCAGTGGTCATCATTTTTCTTGTCCCACCCGCCTGGTCACCGCCCTCCGGTGTCCTTACAACGAGCAGTTCCCTGTACGAGTCCTCCTCTTTGCTGGCCCTTTGGCTGCAAAAGGGAAATTTATTGTTCTCGCCAGCAGTTTGTGTCAAATGTCCCGAGTGCCTCAGCCTTCAGGTGCGCCGGACAAAGGCCAAAAAGCTGGGGCGAGTGCGAGGGCGAGGGTGTCACATTTGACATTTAAGATGCCGCACAATGGCCTCTCGATGGCGGCTCTAATTTATACGCATCGCCTGCATGTGACACCGCCAACAAGTTTTGAGGGCGCATTTGTCGTTGCCAAAAGTTTTGGCCATTTTTTCGCTCTCCATCTCCATGTCCATATCCATTTGCAATTCCAATGATTTTTATGGCCATGTGAATGGGCTGCCTCCCCACGATTGCCCGGGAAAAAAGAACAACAGAAAAAACTGTTGCATTGACAAATCTAATAAACAAATGACAGCCAGACAATCGGACAACCTGTGTGCAATTGATCGGCGAGGGCTAAATTGCAAGCACATGTTGCGGTGACAGGGGAGTGTATCTAAGTTTGATTTCATTAAATGGATGTGGAATGGGAAGTGGTTAGTTAAAGCAAATGAAAAGAAAATGTGTAAAAAAGCTAATACTATTAAGTGGTAAGGAAAAAATCGCCAAATGCTCAAATACATTGATTAACCAAAAGGGGCTTTATCAATTTAACTATTTGAACTAATTGAATGATAAACAAATAGAAAATTTTTGTAAATGTACATGTTATAACTTATAAAATCAATTGAAGTTCTTAAAGTTGTATATTAGATATAAATTATTCACCTTAACTTAAGTCATTTATTTTATTTGTTTGTCTAACTAAGCATTTCACATAGTTGCTCAAGTCAAAATCTTATTTTTCTTTGTTAATTTTCAAAGCTGTATTTATTTTTCTCATTTTTTATGGGTGAACAAACGTTTACGATATCAATTATGCAGTCAAGCTTTTGCTTTGACTCTTTCTTTCTTCGTATAAGGAAGTCAATTTCACTTGCCTCGCCTTGGTATCATCTTTTTATGGCCTTTTATGCCTTTTTTGCCTTTTATGCTGCCTTGCTGGCTTGGCTGGTTTCTTGGTTAATTGCTAGCTGCACATTGTTCAATTGTTTTATGGTTCATATGCATCTCGCCCACCGACACTCACTTTGTCTAATTGGGTCGCTCATTATATAAAGGGTTTTCTGGAGAAGAGACTGGGGCTGTCAGCCGAGTTCAGTCTTTGACAGCACCGTGCAACGCTCCAGTTTCTGAGATTCCCTTCTTCTATCTTGGATGTATAATCTTTGTTATTAAGCTTGTAAAATTAAGTTCTTGTACTTTTGCTTACCAAAAACGGATCTCAAAATTTGTTATGGCTTGAGGTCATCATCCCAATTTTAATTTATTTAACATTTTTAAAAAAATGTATATCATCAATTAAAATGTAAAATATAGTTCTTATACTTTTGCTTACGAAAAACGGCTCTTGATTTAAAAATTTTTCAAAAAATGTATATTAGGTTTTCATTTATACATATTGTGTATAAGGGTATTTTACACTTCTTTCTTCACACACACTTTTCATCTTGTTCGTTTAGAAGGGGCTGGACAAGAAAAGACAACCATTTGACAGCTCCTTCCATGGTGCTTAACTGCTTGAGGTTTTTCGGTTAAATGCACCACCCCCACCATCCCCTGTCCCCCATCCACTATCCTTATGCTCGTCATAAGCCATTAGGGCTAAGTGATTTGTTGTTGTTACCAGGCTGCGCTTAGCACCTTGCAAATTGCCATCGGAAAAGCAGGAATTGGTTGTGTTTTCTTGCCATGAAACAAACTAATTGTGCGGAAGCGCAGAACATTTTCCTTCGCCTGAGAGATGAAGTCTGCTCCAGTTTTGGTCCTTTCCGTGCTTTATGAGAATGTATATTGTTCAATCTGTTTGCCAGTGCCCAAGTTAGAGGCTCGGGAAGTCAAAGTGTCAAAGTTTATGAAAATTCTGTGCATTCGGCATTGTGGTCGTGGTCGAAAGTTTGCTCAAAGTAGGCAAAACTTTGCCCACTCAGATACCAAGTTTTCATTGAAAAGTTTAGTGACTGCCAGGAGTGAGTGTGTCATATGGACATATTAAATGTTACATATATGTATATATACACATTTCTGGTCATTGTTGGCAGCCTGACACGCGTGACATTCGTCTGATGAGAGAGAATCCAGCAGGAAAATCAATGTCAGGAATGTGTGACTCTGCTTCGGTTCAGGAACTTGGTTTTTGGTTGCTGATAACTAAGGGGTTGTTCCACGTCATAGTTATATTTCTAATGAATTTGCTTTTGCCTTATTTGTAGTCAAATTGCGCCAAAACATTTGAATAAAATACTTTTTTTAAAGGGAATATAATTTTTGTCAGTTACTTAACTTACACATATTTATAATCGATTGTGTTAAGATTTTACAATAAAATTAAAAAGATACTGGTAAAAATGCTACCATTAATAATTATAATAACTATTTCTGAATACCATTTGCCATAGTTCTTTACCCCTTTTCGATAAAGTTTTTAATCTACCAAAGAGCGCTACAACCCACTCTCAAATTTCTTTAAGGTCGCTTCACCCACCATAAAACTAATTGCCAGTTGTGACCTCAACTAGCGGATCAAGTTCATCCACCACCGCAGCCACAAAAGTCAAAATGCAAATACCGAAATATTTTCCAGCTATCCCCCGACAAGTTTTCCTAATCACATGCAAACGTAAGAATTAATCAATGATTTACAAGAACAATACGTGTGCACATGTCGCCGAGTGGGCAGGGTGCCGCAGGGCAGGGCGTTCCAGAGTCACTCCCAGTGGAAAACCAGGACCCAGAAACCCAATCGGATTCTGAATCTGAATCTGAATCACAACACGCGCTTGTTAGAGGTTGCCCAATGCTGGGCCACCCACTGCCCAAGGGCCCTGCTTTTTTGGCTGGGACAGGTCAATGGGAGGGCAGGGGAATGGGAATGGGAATGGGAGTGGGAATAGGTTTCAGGGTCCGGTGCAATGTGCACGAACACAAATAAGGCGTCGGCACTGATCCTTGTCAACCACCGAACAGCAATAATTTCAGGGAACGAGCCAGCGATCCAGACATCCAGACAGTCCAATATCCCAATATCCCAACTCTGGCTAAGGCCGCTAATAATTCAATTAGTTGCAAACTCTGGTGGTTGCAGCCACAATCCGCACAGAAGTTTCTCTGCAGCTTGCAGTGGAAGCGGGAATCAGGTCTGCGATTCGGGCTCGGTTCAATAATCAAAATGCCGCCGGCCAAATATCGCAGCAGTGCATAAATTGGCCAGGCTGCAGAAAGTGTAAATGTGCTGGAGAACTGGTCGGTTTGGGCTATCCGACCTGGTGACTGCGCCTGGCATGGGGTCCTCCGATTTGGGACAATGTGTTGTGTGTGCTTTATATAATTGCTCTCGGCTTATTGTGCAGTAAACACAATTGAAATGGGCCACAGAGGCCAACCAAATGTGCGAATTAAACGAATCCATAAACAGATCGGAAAGAGTTTCTCTTGAATGCAATC